AGGGCACTCAGGCAATTGAATGCATAAAAATGCAAAATATGGAGCCTATCCATTTAGATTATCACAGTGGGACTGGGATTGCTGGGACAGCTCTGAAGGAATAGGGATCATATCTGTTATTGTTTTATGCATTATGATAATGTAGTGGTAGTCCTGATTTCATAGGAGACAGGAATTGACTTTTGGGGTTTTTTTACAACACATTTATGCAAGGAAGCATTTGAACAGGAAGTTTTGATCTTAGACCTTAAGATCTCAACTTTTTCTTCAGTATTCCCACACTGAAATCAAAATTTGCAAATTATATTCATTGAAGATATAAACTAAATCTGTACCCTAAACAAACTTCCTAGGTTTTGTTTTGGTTGGTATGTTTTATTTGTATCCTTTGGAAATTGAAAGTAGAAAAGCATCTTGGTAATTCAGTAATTAGCAAGCTGCTCTTTCTTTTGGATTTGAATCTTGCAAATGAGTTGTTGGTCTTAAATGATTAAATCCTAGGGAAAGTGTGAATTGTGTTTGAGTTCTTCTCCCTTATTATGATGAATAAGGTTTTTTTCATTTATAAGTGGTAATGTTGAATTCAGAGTTATTCTTTGTGTTTCTCTAGCATGCTGTGCTTTGTAATCTTCTAAATAAATAACTGAAATAAATTAAGGGGATATATTGTAGTAACTGGGAAATTGCACGATCTTCTGTGTGAGCAACAGTTTCTGTAAAACAAATTAAGGAGATCACACTGTGGTGTACAGATAAGCACAGTTAACGTAAAAAAAAAAAAAAAAAAAAGAAACCCCAGATGCTACACTGGCTTTCTGCTTCTGCAGTCTACACGAGCAATTCTTGTGCCTGTACTCTTTTGGGTGGATGAACTTCCTCTTTTGTTCTATTTATTTAATAAAGACTTCTGATAACAATGATGTGTTATTTTTCTCAAAGCATTTGTCAGACACAAGACCATTCAGTATCTCTGGATCTTAATCTCAGCTGTGGCCTGCAATGTGTTATTTCTTTCTGTTAAAGGTAGCATGTTCTCCTGGTTTCTGACCTCACCTTAGAAAGGAGTTCCTGTTCCTGCCATTCATGCTGTAGAATTCCCACCTCTTCCCCCCTTTTACTTCTATCCCCTCCTTGGCTTCTTTAAGCTCTTGTTTCCCACTTCGATCTTTCCCAGTGCTTAACCCAGAAGAGGTTTTCTTTCTCTAGGTCTTTCCACATCTACAGCACACAATAAATGGGTGGTTGGAGTGCAGGACTGTTTTATTTTCCCTGCATTCAGCTGTTTAAAATAGTGACCCATCACATAAATAGTCAATGGATGAAAGTGTAACTGAGACCCTGATTGCATCGTGGGCTCCAGCAATCCTGGCTCTCCCCTGCTGTCCTGTGCTGTTTCTGGTGACCTGCACTGGAAGTGTTACTTATGGGCAGTTGATAGGTAGCTGTTAAAGCTTACGAGATTCTGAGTTGAACTGCTAGGAGCTGGAGAGACGCCTGCGTTGGTAATGGCAAAATCGATGCAGCAGCTTCAGCTGGGTTGACCGCACTGCTGTCTGGTTTGCTCTCTGTGCCGCGCAAGAGCGAGGAGGCCGTGGTCGAGGGCTCATATGGCGACTCCACCATAGCCTTCTGGCCCGAGGGCAAGCGGCAGAGAAGAGACAGACGTTTCGGTAGCTGGGATTTTGTTTTGAAGACTGTGGTCCCCTAAGTGCCCAGACGACGGGACGGGCGGGGCGGGGTACCCGGGAGGCGGGCCATGACAGCTTTGGCGTCCACCACTCCGCTCAAATAGCCAGCGCCGCGACCAGAGCCGACCTGGCACGGCCGCCCACCCCATGGTGACGGCGACGAGCGGGCGATGCGGCGGCACTCCGGAGCGTCGGGGGCCCGGCGGCTCCCGTGGGAGCTGCCCGCGGCGCCCGGCGCGGCGGCGGCGCCTGGGGGCGGGGACGGCGGCGGCGGCGGCAGGAGAGAACGCGCAGGAGCTGCAGGCTTTCCGTGACTACGGAGAGAGCTGGTACCGCTCCCGCAAGGGGCTGGAGAGCCGCTTCCAGCCGCGGGAGCCGCTCGCCCGGCAGCCGCAGGTGGGGCAGCGGGGCCGGCGGCGGGGAGAGGGCGGGGGAGCCCGGAGTCGGCCCCGCCTGATCCCCGCTGCCGGGGCCGTAGGTGACAGCAGAGGCGCGCTGCAAGCTGGTCAGCTGGCTCATCCCCGTGCACCGGCATTTCGGACTCTCCTTGGAGGCGCTCTGCCTGGCCGTCAACATCCTCGACCGCTTTCTCGCCACTACCCCAGTGGCCGCCGACTGCTTCCAGCTCCTGGGGGTAACAGCACTGCTCATCGCCTGCAAACAGGTAGGGGCGGCCCCGGCTGCCCCGCCACCGGCGGTGGCGGCCCGCTGAGGCCAGACTGAGGGGGCCACACACAGGCCGGGCTCCGCGCCAGCTCCCCCGCACTGCTTCCCGGCGGAAGCGTCCTCACTCCTGTCCCCACCCGCAGGTGGAGGTGCACCCTCCTAGCGTGAAAGAGCTTCTCTTCCTCTGCTGCGACGCCTTCACTCGCCAGCAGCTCCGCAATCTGGAGTGCATCGTCCTGCATCGCCTGAACTTCGACTTGGCGGCGCCCACCGTCAGCTTCTTTTTGGAGCACTTCAGCCAGGTGCGGCTGGAGGCTCGGGGGGCCGACGCGGGGGAGGCGGCAGACGCCCGGAGCCTGGCGGCGGGCGTCGCGGAGCTCAGCCTGGCTGACTATGCCTTCACCAAATACGCGCCCTCTCTGCTGGCCGCCAGCAGCCTGGGGCTTGCGGACCGGCTCCTGCGGCACTGCAGCCCCCTGGACCTGCGAATCAGTGGCTACCCGGAAGAGCTCCTGCGGGACTGCATGGACCAGCTTCAGCTCCTGGTGTCTCTGAACGGGCGGTCCCTGTCTCTCCTCCTGCCGTCGGAGGTGGCCCAGAAGTGCCCCTGGCTTGGGGATGACCGCTGACAGCGGGTGGTGGTGGAGACGGCTCTGGCTCGGCGTTTGTGCTCCACAGAGTCGGTGCAGTCTGATCCACTAAGCCTTAATGTCACTGGTGCTTAAAAATTAGATGGCGTTTTGCAAATGATTTTATGTGTCATGTCATCTGCACTGTCCCTTTGCTGTATTTTTTTTAAGTCCAGCATGTAAATAATTTACTGAATCTCACGTACTGTGTTATTTAATTGGAGGGTGGTCCATAAAGATGACGTTGTAAGGACCAACTGAATGTTGAATCTTTTCTGCTTGTTACCTCTATACGTTTATTTGCTGGCGGTGTGCCAACACAGCTGGGCGTGGAAACACATTGGCACATAACGAATTCACCTTGTCAGTTAACTCAATCCCCCACAAAATAAAAACTCCCAACAGTGTCATTCCCTGTGATGCCTATATAACTTGAGTCAAAGTTACAAGACATTTATACATCTTGCGTTATAAGATACCAATATAAACCGAATCATAATTTTCTATACAATGTAATAGCCAGTATATGGTTCACTAGTTGTTTAATGCTTAATTAAACAGAAACTCACCAGGTGAATAGTTTCAAAAATAGATAAGTAGTATCAAAAATAGACAGGTATAACTACACTGAGAAGCAGCAGGATGTACTAATTAGTAATTAGCAAATGTAAAGCAAATTAGCCACAAAATGAAGAATTTAGACCCGTTAAATTCAAAACCAAGGAACACCATAACAGCACATGCTCCGTAGACAAAGTTGAAAAGTTCAGGTGTGAGGAACACCTTAAGCCTTCATTGGAGAAGACCTTCAAGACCACCTAAATTGGGGAAGCACAAGCACAGTACAGAAGAACAATTTATAACCATGAGATAACATTATGTAAATTAGCTCCTGTGCATATATGATGACATTATAATGATGTAGCAATATTAAGCAATACTTACTGTATAAATAAACCACAGCACTTGAAAAGGGTGGGTGAGTTAGGTGAAGAAATCCCCCTCATCTCCAATTAAAAAGTACCTGCTCTATGGTCAGTCTATGGGGTTTTATTTCACCCGTTTCAAACTGGCACCGACTGGCTTGGTCATGGCTCAGGGGGAAAACAAAAATAGATACACTGACATAAGTGTAGGAAAAGTGTAGAATAATAACAACAGCTGGGTTGGTTTGTTTGTTTATTTAGTTTTCTAACAGGTCTATAATCCAGATGCACGCTCCTGAGTAGGTAGGCACATTCAAAGGCAGAAAACAGTCATAGTGTTGTAAAATACTTCATTTTCTTTATTTGTATCTGTGTACGAAAGTAGCGTTAAAAGACATAGACAGCTTGAGCTGCCCTAGGGAGTGCTCACCTTTCAGCGCAGGGGGAACCCGGACGCCGGGCGGCGCTCCAAGTTCTGCCTGCCGTCAGGTATTGAGGCCGAACGGGCAAACCTTGTCCACGCTGCTGTTATAAAAAATACCTACAAGACCACCATTGGGGAATAAAAGGCAACTCAACCTCCGCCAACCCCGTCGGTGATTTCAGCTGGACATGCCGTAGCAGCGGGTAAGACCCTCTGCCGACGCGAGGATATCCTCTCCCGGTGCGCGGGTCGGTGCATTCAAGATGCCGTGGACAGGTTTTTTTTCCTACGTAACACACCCCCCCACCCGGGCCCCCCCGTCCCCCGTGGCTTTCAACACAGACGGACCCTACCTACCTCTTAGAGAGATTTAACAAACACCATTATGAAAACCAGCCCAGCCGCCAGGCTGACGCCCGCGCTGCCCGGCAGAGATCCGCGGGCGTGAGCGCGGCACCGAGCTGCTGGGGGCGCGGGCGGCCGAGGTGGCGGGGCCGGCAGGCAGCGCCTATCCTCCAGTTTCCCTCCGGGGCAGCCCCTCGGCCCGCCCAGGCTCCACAGGCGCGGGGCCGGGTTCCGCGGGCGCGGGAGCCGGCGGCGCGGCCCAGGGAGGTGGCGGGAGGTTTCGGCGCCCCGGAGAAGTGAAGGCGGGCGGGCAGCCCCCGCCATGGCCGTGGTCCCCGCGCCCCTGCTCGCGGGGCGGCGCCGAGCGGGACGCGGGGCGGAGGGCGCCCGCCGGCACCGGAGCTGGAGCCGAGGCCGGGGCCGCGTCGCCAGCATGGAGCAGGGCGGCCGCCGCCGAGCCTTCGGCAGCATCTGCCCCAACACAGTCCAGGGCCCGCCCGCCCGCCTAGCCAAGAAGCCGGCCCGGCCCGGCGGGGGCACGGCGTGGACGCCCCCGGCTGCCCTGAATCCCCGAGCTCCCCCGCCCCGTCCGCGCCGCAGCGACGCCTCTCCGGCCGCCGCCGCGCCCGCCCTGGGTGAGTCAGCCTGCGGCGGACAGCCTTAACCCCCCAGGCGTGTACCCTTCCCCGTTCCTCCTTCTGCGCCCCTCTGGTGTCCCTCACCGTGCTCCCCAGTCTTGATACCCCCACCTTACCCTCCACTGTATTCCCCCGGCCATGACCCCTCTCCATGAGCCCCACTGTATCCTCCTTGGTGGCTTTGCACCCTGTTTCCCAGTCTTGTATTCCCTGGCTGTGCACATCGAAGATGCTCCCCAGACGTGCTTCTCGTTTTGCCATGCTCCATTCACTACGTCCGCCTCTGCCCGTGCTACTCATCTTTGTCTCTGACTGTCCCCAGTGCTCAGCACCATCAACTGGCAGGATTTGACAGCCTCTGCCCCCATGCTTCCCACCACCCCAGCTGGCCTTGTGACCCTGCAGCAGGTAAACCTACTGTTCAGAGCAGCCTAGGCTGCTCTTGGCACCTGAAGGGGTAGCTCTCTCAAGTAGATGGAGGCTAGCAACTTCCCTAGCCTCAGGTTTTCCATCTGAGAAATGGGCGCAGCAGAGGACAGCATCTTGTCCCATGTGTCAGATGGGTTACAGGTGGCAAGGGGATGGTGCCTGGGGGTGCTGGAATTGTGATAAGGTGCTGAGCACGGGTAGCAGACACTGTTGAAATAGTATGGGCAGTGGTGTAGGCAGGTCTGAGCCCTGAGCCCTGCTCACTGGATCATTTCCTTCACCCCTGACAGGGTCCCTGCTTCCAGGATGGGCCGGAGTTTGATTTCCAGGAACTCAGGGATACTGTCGGTGATTTTATACCTGGCAAGTAGATATTTTTCCTTACCTGAGCCAAACGTACCTGTGTGTGCACATCTGCAGTCATGCTGCATTCAGACTCCTTTTTTGCTTTGCTTTTGGAATTTTAGATGCCCACTCACTGTGTGTTTGTCCCAGCATGGGATAGTCTGTGAGATAGTGCATTCCTGCTCACTCCCTTAGAGACTTGAGCTGTCACTGAGCTTTTTCCCACAGGAGACAAATTAAATCCAAACAGATTCAGGGTGCACAACTCTCTAGAGTAAAAGTGTTTCAGAGGGACATGTCCAGAGCGAACATCCAGAGCGGTGTTTAGAACCAGAATGGTATGCTGGGGTTGAGGAGAACAGACATTAATACCTCCACTTAACACTTGTGGCTATTCCTTCCAGATGTATCCACCTTAATGCCACCACCACTGGACTGTACTGACTATGATTTCTCACTTGGTGAGGAGGTGGCTTTTGGCCCCTGCACTCCGCAGCTGCAGAGCAGCACACTGGTTCCCCCACAGAACCTGTCTTCCCCTGAGCCGTGCTGGAGGGACCTGGCTGACCAGCACCAGAAAGCATTGGGAGATGCCCTAGAAGCAAACAGCCAGGTAGAGACCCTGAAGCCCCCAGACTGCGCTGTGTTCTGTTGCATCCTGTTGAGGCAACTGCAAGGGCAGGCTCCTGGACAATGTGGCTGTCTCAACCACCCTTTTCCTCATTTGTCCTTTGCAGCTGCAGGAGACCCTCACACAGAGGCAGGAAGAGCTGGTGACACTGAGGGAGAGCAACGTGCAGCTGAAGGAGCTGGCAAGTCAGGCCAGACAGCTGGCCGCTGTCCTTGACGTGAGTGCTGCTCACCATCTGGCCTGCCTGCCCCACGGCCCAGCTTGTCCCTGGGGGACAGTGTGATGTCGGGAGCAGAGGGGAATAGGGTGCAGGGCGAGGCAGCATGGGGTGGGACAAGGACTGGGTTGGGGGGAGATGTGGAATGGGATTGTGAAATGTGGGGTTGTGGGCATCGTGTGGTGCAGAACAGGGTGGTGTGGGGCAGGGCAACGTGGATTGGTACGTGGTGTGGGGTAAAGCAGTGCGGGGTGGAACAGGGCAATGGGGGTCGGTCAGCGTGGTACGGCTCGGGGCAGGGCAGCGAGGTGTGGGAGTGGGCCATGCGGTATGGGATGGAGCAGTGGAGAACAGTGTGGTGCGGAACAGGACGGGGCTGTGCGGCGCAGATCTCGGAACTCGCGCTCCCTCTCGCCGGCAGACGCTGATGCTCCCGCAAAGCGCCGAAGAGACAGTCCCTCCTCCTCTTCCTCATTTTCATCCTTTACCTCCTCCTCCCACCGCTGCTGCTGCCGCCGCAGCCCCGTCCGGGAGCGGCCTGGAGGACGCGGAGGGCGTGGACGCCATGCTGCGGGCCGTGTCGGAGAAGTGTCGCGCCGCCCTGCGAAGCCTGGGGGGCAGCGCGGGGGACAGGGCGGGGGGCAGCCCCGGGGGCAGCCCCACAGCCAAGCGCCCGCGGCCGGACCCGCGCCTGCACGGCGCCTTCCGCGGACTGCGCACCGGCCGCGCCTCCCCGCGCCCGGCCGGCCGGGAGCTGGAGGGGGGCGGCAGCCTGCGGGCGGCGCTGGGGGAGGCGGGCGCCATCCGCACCCTGGCCTTCCCGCAGGGAAACGCCTTCACTCTGCGCACCGCCGCCGGCGGGCACCGCTTCCGATGGGTGCCGCGCTGAGACCCCCGCGGCTCCGGGCACCCGTGTCCTGGGCCCGTGCAGCGCGAGGCCGGCGGCACACCCCACACATCGGCACGCTCCCCGTTTTCTCTTGGAAAAGGGATATTCTCGCTTTCCCCCCCGCTGCCGGAGAAGCGACGAGCGCTGCAGAGGCCGCCGTGCCTCAGCGAGGGTCCGGCGCCGCAGGCTTCGTACGCCGTGCCTCCGTGGCTCCTGGCCCGGCAGCTTGCCATCAGTAGCTTGCTAATGAAAGTAGAAATTAAACGAAGATCTGCCCGGTTTTATCCAGACGTTTTTAGTCAGCTGAGCAGACAAGTGTAGCTGACAGGACTGTGGCTGGAATTGACAAGTGTGAAAGCAGAGTGATCGTCCCAGGTGGTTGAACAGCTGCTCCATCGTGGAATTTTACACCCACAATGTTTACAAAGTGCACTTGTGTCGTTCGTGTGTGCAACTGTATGTGTATGTTTGTACACGTTATGATAATTAAATGGTGCTTAAAATTGACATTTTATTTGTACAGATTTACTGTAAACTTAATTTTGCATCAGGTATGCATATTTACTTTAATTAGAGCAGAGATAACAGAAAACATCTCTGACAGAATGGAGATAGAAAGTTTTAGAATAAAACATGCTACTTTTAACATTAGTTAGTGGTACTAACTTCTGTAAAGAGAAATGTAAAGAATAACCAATTAAAGGAGATGTATATAATGTGCTGCTAGAAATATGTTTATAGCCTAACACCATAACCATGTTGCATACCAAGCACTTTTTATCAGAGTGTATCTGTGTGTCTGATGATGCTCCTATGAGTCTCACTGAGAAACATTTCATTTCACCCGCTGATTTGAAGTTATTGCTTTTGCAGCATTCAGCTTTTCCAGTATCCTTGCATAGGTCCATGCACATTAACAGCAGTCCAACTGTGACAGGCCTGTATGATGCCTAATGATGACAGCACATCACCACCTCAGTGGATTTCCTAGGGGAGTTGAAACCCTGCACATACTGTTGTGCTTTTGGCAAGCAGAGATGTATTTGGAAGGAGAGTGGTTGTTGTTGCCAGCACAACATGTAGTTGTATGGCTGCTAGGAGACTGCAAAAGTGGTCATCGAGTATCTGAAATCCTTCATGTCTTCAGCACTGACATTTTTCTAGCAGGAATGGTGCTGAAGCCCTTTCTGGGATGCTATGGGCTCAATCCTGGGATGTCTTCAGAAATATTTACATTTTTGCAGAAGACCTTTGCCACTTTGACCAAAATCCTGCATGAAAGCTCTGGTTTGACAGCAGACAGAAGAGACAAAGCCTTCCTGACTGCACTGAATTCAGCAGGGAATAAATTAATAACAAAAAATAGCATACATATACAATTATGTAATGCTCATACGAATATTATGGAGAAATTTCTGTGTCACCTCAGAAATGAAGTGACACACTAAAAGTGTACACTTCTTGTAGGATGCAACAATGAAATAACCACCCTGCTGGATTGTGAGTACTGTTGATCTTGCTGCTACTGCAAGTTTTTTTAATTACAAATATATTTTTACACACTTTTTCAGTGAACTTGCTATGGCATTTCCACTGATTACTTTTACTCATAGTTTTTTATGGTAAGACAATCCTTGATTAATTTTGAGATGTAATCTAAAAGTAGTAGAAAATTGTCATAAATGGAGTTTTAAATCTATTTAATTTGAAGACCTATTAATCAGAAAGGCTGAAAATTAGTTAATGAGAACAAGATGTTTCTGAGTGAGACTCACAGGAGCATCATCAGACATACAGATATACACTGATAAAAAGTGTTTGGTATGCAACATGGTCATGGTGTTAGGCTATAAACATATTGTTAGCAGTACACTATATACATTTCCTTTAATCTTTAAAAGTTTATTTTGAATTGATACTTATCCATCCACTTCCATACAGGAGCTGCATAAAAAATGGGTGAAGTTCTTGCACAGATTAAAACAGCCAAATTACTGGTTTTGACAACAATAAATTAGGACTCCTGTCAGGCAGGAGTTGATGGGATCATAGGGAATGAAGCCTGGTCCCTTGATGCCCATGTTTCATGCTTGTTTCATCAGAAGTTGATCTTGGAGAAGGTGGAAGTCTACATCTAGGGAGCATCATATCCAATTTTTGCTTTATTTTGTGTTTTTATATTTTATGCTTATTATCTGGGAGAGGATCTGTGCAGAGAGAGCCCCTGGACATGCAGGTGTGGTGAACTAAAGAATGTGCTCACTGTGATTTTCTCTCTCTGGTGGTGAATTGTCCATGCAATTTGTGAAGGGAGCAAGCCAAGACCACAGCAGAAATAAAATAAAGTAGATGCAATAACATTTCATGAGCTTTTTACCTGCTTATATTAAGTAACCATTCTCCACCTTTCCCTTCCCTGCTGGTGCCAAGCCATGAGATGTGTGGCTATGGAAGTGTGATGGTACAGAATTGCAGACAACTGGGATATTGTGAGGTGAAAGAAAAAAATACCTTTTCATTTGGGGGTGCCAGGGTGAGGGTTTACTGAGTTCATGTGTTGGAGACAAGCACACCAATTTAATATATGCTTTGTCTGGGAATTTTTTTTCTAATGGGTAAGATCTTTAGGCGTCATTTAAAAGAAAACACCAGGCCTCAAGGACAACTTGATTAAAATTGCATTCTAGAAGGACATCTAACTTTTAGTAAGGAGATGCATATTAATTAAGTCAGTAATTTTAAGGATGGAAAGGGCAGAAGAGATCTGGATAGAGTTATTTAGAAATGGCATAAGGTTTTTGTTATAGCTAGAATTTGTAAAAGCCTTTTTTTACCAGCAATTTTGCTCATCCTTTGATCAAAAGACAATATTCAAGACTGAGTGTCAGCATGGCATTTTACTGCAGGGCTTGTCAGGGTTGTTCAATGGATCATAAAGAGAAAATATTGCCCATTCACAAGTCTGAGCTATTCTCCACATGCCAGTAATAGACGTGTTCTTGTTTTGATGTTCATTATCAAGTTGTACGTAAACATAAGCAAACATTTGGTGTCATTTAATTGCTCTGGTCACTGTTTTTGAAGCACACAGATTCATGCAATTCCCATTAATATTCCATCACAAAGATGCAACTGATGTTCCTGCTGGTTTGCCACAGATCCTGTGTGGTCGCAGGAAGGCATTGAGGCGGCTTGGGCTTTTGGTGATCACGTAGAGACCAGACTCTAACATAACTATCATGTGATAACAGCAGTACTAAATAAACTACTCCTGTTGGCTCCTCAGTGATGGCAGAGAGATTGAATATCACTGACATTTATTCCCTTGTTTTCCTGAATATTTTTTTAAATAAAAATACTTCTGTGTCTAACTTCTAGGAAAAGGCAAACATTTTTCAGTCCTTTTTATATGACAGCAGCAGCACTCTTCATCTTTTCTAAACATTGACTTCTGGTCAGCAGCCATTATTTGAATTTTGCATTGCACAGCCTCAACAAACAACTAAAGCTAATGAGGTCAAAAGAGGCTGTAGTTTGCTTTGGCAAAACTATTTCATATCTGCAGCAAAATCAGTCTTAAAGTCTGCCTTGCACTTAGCACCTGTTCAAACTCTGATAGCAAGTGACTATGTTCAATATTTATATCTTAAATAAAATACTATAAAAAAAAAATCAGTAAGAGTCTTCAAGGTTTTTCTTGTGTTTGTAAAACAGTCTGGGATAACCAGGGAGAGAGTGTTCAGGGTTAAGTCCACCCGTCAATCACAAGCCTACCCGGTTGTTGCATCTCTTACCTGAGACATCATGGGTACATAGAGGCAGAAATAATTCACCCTTCCAGATAACTCACACCAGTCCAGATCCACCTGAGACACTTCAACCTTGGCAGCTTGATCCATCTTTCCATTGTTTTGATATTCTTCAGTCGCCCAACTCTTAGGTATTGTGCACCCGCACAATGTACTTTACAGCCAACTTTTCCACCTGGGCAGAGGTGCCACACTTCTGCAGCCCAGATGGGTTTCCCTTTGTACTGCCAATTGGTCTTTTTCCATTGGTCCAGCTCCCCCTACAGAGCATTTGCCACCATCGGCAATTCAGAGTAGAGGTAAAGCACTGGCCATTTCTCTCATTCAGTGATATCTAAAGCCAGCTGGACAGCTTTCAGCTTTGTGAACTGACTGGATCCACCTTGTCCCTCAATAGTGTAGGACTTCATACAGCACCTTTACACTTTCAATTTGTTCCTACAATATATAAGAAACCATCAGTGAAGAGAGCGCATTGCTTTGCATTTTCTGGCAGCTGATTGTAGTGTAGGACCTCCTCAGAATGTGCAACCTTTTCCTCCTCTGGTGATGATACTCCAAAAATTTCACTTTCAATCCAGTTTGTGATGACTTCTGAGATCCCTGAGTGATTGGGGTTTCCAGTTTGAGCTTGCTGTATGGTCAGAGCAATCCAGTCCTTCCACATAGCCATGATGCTTGGAAAGCACTTTCTCTTTGCACATCCAGTCCAGCACTGGCAGTCAGGATGCCAGAAGAAGCTGTGCTTTGGTACCAATCACTTCTGAGGCAGCTCAAATCCCATCAGAAGCTGCAAGGATCTTTTTCAGCTGGAGTGTAGAAAGCCTCAGATCTTTTGCATCCCTGACTCAAGAACTTCAGCCCTCATCCCCTAGTCTCCTGGATACATTTCACCAGGACTCCAGGAAGGACCATTTTGTCTGACTGCATTGTAGGGCACATTTTTCACATCTTAACCTGTCCTGACTGGCCCAGGGACTACTCCATGAACAATCTCCTGATTCATTTGTTCAAAGGCTTGCTGTTGTTCAGGACCACACCTAAAATCATTCTTCTTTAATGTCACGTGATGGAGAGGGTTTATGATCTGAGGGTTTGTGATCCAGAACATACATTCTGCAAACCCCACAGCACCTAGGAAAATCTGTGTTTCCTTCTTGCTGGTTGGTGGAACATGGCTGCTATTTTATGGAGCACATCCATTGAAATCTGACAATGTCCATCCTGCCATTTACTCCTAAAAACTGAATTTCCCAGGTAGATCCCTTGACCTACTTGGGTTTATGGCAAAAGCAGCCTTCAGCTGATTTTGAATGCCTGAGAAGTTTACTTTTCAGTTTACTTACTGGCTGTGAAGAGTTTTCTCTTGAAAGCAGAATGAACATGCCTACCATTATACTGTAATGGTCTTTCTCTGTTTGTCAGTAACACTCTGTGTCTTTGTAATTCCCTAACTCAAGTGGATCTCAGGCAGAAAAAGGTGAAGGAGCTTTCCTAACATATTTCAGTTTAACTTCCAACAGGTTTTGACCTTGGGACATTTTGCATTATTTTTCAAGGTGAGAGGTAAAGAGTGCTAAAAAGTCACTACTGAACACATGACATGCCACTACTCAGCTTTCTAATAGTCCTAAATAAGGTCTTTTTTTCTCTTAGGAAATTCCTTTGTATTATTTTCTTTGCAATTGTTTGGTGCCCTAGGGATGATTGCATAGGTGATAAGAGGTAGGGACCCAGCGCTTCTATACACTATTCTTCAGAAGTCTAATTAGAGCTATCAAATATACCTTCACATGATTGGAGCAATGGGCAACATATACTTCAGGATATTCTGGGATGTGCAGTGCAGAGCAAGTGGATACCAACAAAACAAACAGGAAAGGAAGAGCTGAGGGTAAAATCAGTATG